ATGTTTTCAGAGGGTCAGAGTACATGATGGCAGAGCAAAGGCCCATATGGCATCAGGGACAGCTAAGAGCTGTCTTTGCATCGCAACTGGGGGTGGGGCAGACAGGCACACTGGGAATGGCACTGGTCTTTTGAAACCTCAAACCTTGCACCTGATAAACCTCCTCCAAGGGAACCACACTTTTAATCCTTCCCAAGCAGTTCCACCAATTGGGGACCAAATATTGAAACACATGAGTCCATGGTGTCCATTCTCATTCAAACCACCACAGAAGGGAAGGGTTTATTTGGCTTAAACAATGAGGAAAGCCAAAGGAGAACCCAGTCACACAAAGTAGGCACCAAGGAGTAACACTGCTTACTGGCTTATTTTTCTAGTTCAAAGTTCCAGAAAACAGCACACTCAGGACTGTCACAGCAACAGGTATCAACTTCAGTATTGTTTTTCTGCTACTTTGATAAACACCAAGGCCAAGGCAACTAAAGAAGAAAGGGTTTATTTTGGCTTGTGGTTCCAAAGGGAGAGTCCATAATGGAGGGGAACCCAATGAATCAGTCAGACAGAGTAAGAAGCTAAAAGAGCTCATCTTCAACCAGAGGCTGAAAGGAGAAAGAAGAGAATCAGAAATGTAGCAAGGCTATGAATTCTCCAAGCTGCTCCCCAGTGATGTGCTTCCTCCAGCAAGACTCCTCCTCCTGAAGGTTCCCCAACCCTCCCCAACAGTATCAACAATCAGGGAGCAAGAGTTCAAACATGTGAGCCTAGGGAGACATAATTTAAAGTACCACGCAGACCTGATGGCCTATGTAAAATACAAAAGAAACAGAATACAGTGAAATACAAAATGTCACAGGAGTGCACAAGCCTCTGTGGTGCTGGCTTTGTTAGTGGACACAAGATCATCTCTCAATGATATTGCAATGTCCCATTTGATGGAATAGGAGAGAAACTTTTGGTGAGAGCTAAAGAATGAAATGAATATCCAAAATTACTAGAAAAATGTACAAGGTTTGATGGGCAGAAAAAAATGGACAGAGTAATAGCCATGGATCTAAAATTTAAAAAAAAACCACTGGCATGGGATAGAAAATTGTTACTGGAGACTAATATGGAAGAAGCAGCATGGCCTGGTGTAATAGTTTTTTGTTTTGTTTTTAACACTCTAGGGGCCCACCACCCAGCTCTCAAATAAATACATGGAGACTTATTCTTACTTATGAATGCCCAGTCTTAGCTTGGTTTGTTTGTTTCTACCCAGCTTTTCTATCTTTAAATTATCACATTTCTCTTTAACTTCATTTTGCCTCTGGGCTTTAAACCTTTCATTATTCTATATATCTTTACTTTGTGGCTGGCTATGTGGCTGACTCTTGGCATCCTCCTCTCTTTCCTTTTCTTGCACCTCACTCCCTCTCTCCTCTTCTAGATTTCTCATTCTATTTATTCCATCTTCCTGCCAGCCCTGCCTTTTTTCTCTCTCCTGCCTAGCTATTGGCCTTCAGCTCTATATTAGACCAATTGGGTATTTTAGGCAGGCAAAGTAGCACAGCTTTATAGAGTTAAACAAATGCAACATAAAAATGCAACACATCTTTGCATCATTAAACAAATATTTCACAGCATATACAAATGTAACACATCTTAAACTAGCATTCCACAACAGCCTGGAGCTGAGCAATGTGAGAGCATGTGATAGCCCATGCAACCTAGGGAGAGAGGTGAAGACATGAGGGACAGAGAACAAATGGAGTGGATGCCTTGACACAGTCAAAGAAATGTCACAGCAGGGTTTTAAGGGTGGGGCAAAGAAAGGAAACAAAGTCTTGTTACAGGCTAAAAGAACTTGACATTACAGGAAAGATCATTTCAGAAAAGGTAAGCTCAGGTCTGAACTTGGGAGTGAAGCCACAGAGGTGGTAGAAGACCAGGTAGTATCTTATCATACATGTTACTGTCTCCTATGCTGTGTCTCTCCTCCTAGCTTGCCAACAAGTCTACTGATTTCAAAGACTGGATCTTTCTTATCTGGGTATATTTATTCCTATCCAAGCACCTGAGACACCAAGTACTCAAAATACACAGGTGGTTCTAAAGCAAAGAGCAAGGTTCTCTCCTAGACCATTAGAAAGAACACAGTCCAGATGATACCTTGTTGTTAGCACTTTTCAGGGCTGGAACTGTGAGTCACTCTTTAATTTTAAGTCACACAGTGCTAAGATAAGTGAATGAAGCAATAACTAAATCTTCTTGGGAAGCCATAGGACAGCAAGCCAAATAGGGTTAGCCTTATTTAAGGTGTCAGGTTTCTTGTTTCATAACAGAAGTGAAGGAGGAAGTATGAAGAAAGGGTACCATGAAGACACTATAGTGTAAAAATGAAATCATTACTCAGCAATAGCTGTTCTGATGTCCACGAATTATGCGGCCAGGTCAGCAGCAGGTCAGGACTTGAATGGAGGTTATCAACTTCATTTCAGTGCAGCTTTTACATTGTTCTATGACTCCCTAAATTTGTAGTAAGAAATAGTAGAGAAGCCACAGATGAACTGCTGTGCTTAAACAGATGTAACAGAATCTTTAGACTATTCAAGGCTTGGCACTGTCCCTTGTTTCATTCCCTGCAGTCAACAGAGAATGTGCTGTTAGCTCAGACACTGAGACTCAGTCTCAGGAGCCTGTTCAACACTACAACCCATAAAGCAACAGTTGCCACAATCCCACCTGGCCAAGAAGCAGACCTGAGAATGCTGGCAGAGGGACTATATTTCCTCTTTATCTCCTCCTTCCAGTGGTGACTGTTCTGACATACCCAGAAGCAGAGGGACGGGAGCAGCTGCTAATGTCTCCCAAGAAGAGAGTGACTACGGAAATCGCTCTGCATGCACAAACCAAAAGGAGCTGGAGCTGCAACATTGAAGGGGAGCCCTGAAACAAACTGCTAGGTGAAAAGCTCATGTAGAATCATCACATAGGTACTTACAGCCATCCTGCTTTTTCAAGTCCCATTGTAATACGAGTCTATGCACTTGGAAATGCGTGAAAGACCTGGAAGAGGGGCTATCAAGTCATTACTAACATGAAGAAGGGGCTGGAGAGATGGCTCACTGGTCAAGAGCACTTAGTGCTATTCCAGAAGACTCAAGTTAGGTTTCCAGCACCCATGTCAAGCAGCTCACACCTGTCTGTAGTCCAGTTCAGGGACTCTAACACCTCTGCTCTCCAGGGGCACCTCCACACACACTCATACGGGATATGCTATGCTGCCCTTCTGTATAGTTTCGGGGGCAAAGTTTAGCACTTCCTTTTTTCTGCTCAAGTTACACTCTGGTCTCTTATCTACTTTGCCTCTAGCATACTGAACTCTAAAGGCCTTTTTGAAGACAGAACCCATTGTCTCTTTCTGTTTTCTTAAAGTATGTCACAAGAGCTGGCACCCAGAGGTCACTGAAAAAGGAGCAAATATAACATGTGCATTTTTGAAGGTATTCCAATTCTAGCATATTGTGCACTTTCAAAATAGGCAGACTCCACTTTGATTCATTTAAATAGTAACTCTCTTTAGCTTAAAAAATAATGTGTTTATTTATTTGGAGGGGCACATGCATGACATAGTATATTGTGTGGCCAGTAGACAATTTCTGAGATCTGGTTCTTGCATGGCAGCTAGTAGCTTCACCAGTGAAAGCCATTTCACTCACTTGGAGTTGAATTTTTGTCACCAGTCTCCAGATTCTTGTCATAAAAGATAAACACACACACACACATACACACACACACACACACACACACACACACACACACACAGACAGACACACCCAGATGGGCTGGGTAGATGGCTCAGTGGATGCTTGCCATCTAAAGATGAAGATGTGAGTTTGGATCCCAGAATCCAAGTAAAGCTAAAAGCAGTAGTGAGCACCTGTGAGCCAAGTGCTCCTGTGGCCAGACAGGAAGCAGAAATGGGAGGATCCCTGGAAGTTGCTAGGCAGGTACAGTGGTAAACAACAACAACCCAGTCTTAAACAAGAAGGGCGGGTAGAGAGGGCTGGCAAGAACTAATAATGTCTGAGGCTGTCTTCTGATCACATGCATGCACACACTCCACAGTAGTTAGGGGACTACACTGATAAACCTCTTCATGTTTGTTCTGTGACATTCTAGGTGACTGCTGTTCTTCCAAAGACTTCGGTGGTGGACTCCATACTTCCAACAACACAGAAAAAGGATGCAGGAGTTACCTGACAGTGCATCATAGAACTCGTCCTCACTAAGGATGCTGACAGGCGGGGATCCTTCAACCAGAGATCTCTCTAGTTCATGGTGTTCGGTGGCTAAAGTCTCCAGTGCTTCTGACAAAATTTTGTTTTTTTCTTGTTCCTGTTCCAATTTAAAATTCCTCACCTGGAAGAATGCAAATACACAAGAGTTCAGAGTGACAGGAAATACACTTTCTCAGAGGTTGAGAAAATTACTTGCTTTTGATCTAGTTCAACTGAAATAACAGAAATGAAAGCAGTTGGGTTACAAACACACAGACGAATGAGCAAAATCTCTAAGCTAATTTTGCTCTTCTCAAGGGGCCTTTTTCTTACAACTTAACTAATGAAAACAGATTGTGAACTACCAAACAAATTTGGCTCAAATTATGAAAATACTAGTAAAGAAAAAGGCATTAGTCAATTTGGAATTGCATTTAAAATATTTCTTCCTCAACACTAATCATGAAATTTTGAAACATCATTTCAGCAAGTTTTTCAACAAAAAAGATTTCCCATCATCTTAAATGTTACAATGTGCACAAAACTGGATGGAGTCTCCTTATCTTAAATGTTACAATGAACACAAAACTAGTCTCCTAGTTTATTTCCCAAGTAGTTGGAATATCAAACAAAGGGAAACAAGTTGCTGGGTAATAGCTAAGAAAATTTTACTACCCATTTTCAATTCTTTGTTTCTACTCCAAGTCTACATTTTGCCTTTAATTTAGTAAACTTAAAAAAAAAAAGTTACAAGAATGGTAAAGCATGATGAGACATTATGGCATCCAAGAGTATCTGAACCTGCATTAAACCCCTCCTAACCTCACAGGACAGCATGCACTGGGCTTGGTCCTGCGTTTTATCTAATTCTGCACCAAGAACTACAGAAACCACTGCTAACCCTTGGTTTTGCTCAGCACCTCACTCTGGAGCCAGAGACGTTGCCTCCAATGGTTGCCATGTGTTTTCAGGAATGCCTTCTGTAGTTTCCACCATTCCATCGTACCCTAAGCAGTGCTCAGCACAGTGGTCTTTTTTTAAATTTTATTTATTTTGTATACAGTGTTCTGTCTACATATATGCCTTATAGCTTGTTGTGGTGTGCTTTCCTATAATCCCAGGATTTGGGAGGACAGGGCATGAGAATAGAGAATTTGGAGTCAGCCTAGGACAGAGTGAGACCCTGTCTCAAGGAACGAACACCTCTATAATATCAGTGCTTTACATAGCAGAATCCTGCTGCTGGTGCTGGACAGGACAGGAGCCTGCTGTGACTTTCTCCTTCCTCCCAAGCAGACCACAGAGATTGGCCCAAACGCCGTTCCCAGTTCTCTTCAGGTCAAACCTCAGTCCTCTATCTGGGAACTCTTTCACAAGGGCCCCTTGCATCACTCACTGATCCTACCCCTTTCACCTCTTGACATTTCTCCCATGCTCCTCTCTAAAGCCCCAAGGAGGAAGCACTTTTCTCTGTTTTAACTGCAGGACCCTGTGTGGTCCTGAGGTCCTCATGGCTGCACCTCAGGTCTAATGCTCTGCTAAGAATTATGGAAAGAACTAAAGACAGTTTGTCTTCAAGGCTCACTTCATTGGACAAACAGGGTTAAGTCTTTATCATCTTGGGAACAGATCCAGTCCTCGGGCACTTCAGTGTTTATCACTAGAGCGATGAAATTATAATTATTAGAGCTGTGATAATGAAATAAAGATAGCAATACATACAAGTAGTCCTAAACAGAGACATCATACAAAGTACAAAAACTTTAAAACATATAATTGTATTTTGTAACAAATTCAGAAACACTTGTAAATATTCTCATAATTAAAATAGTGTCTCCAGAGAAGGAAATGCTTATACTGTGGCTAGACTGTAACTTAAATATGACAGAAGAATAATTCCTTCTGTTTAACAAATGCTTACATTTGAATGCTAAATTTATGTAGATTTCAGCCAAGGGACAAAATTCATCAAGTCTTCAAACATCTGATCCTCCCTAAAAAATCTTATTCCAACCACAGCAGAGCCTTTATTCACCTAAAATAATCATTATTCCCTTCCTGCCACACCTACATTTGTCCTTGCTTGTCAGTGAAGAGAGTGAATGGGTGGGGGGGGGCTACCCTCCTGTGTGAACTTGTTCATCTTTCAGCTGATCTGAGAGTGCTCCCAGGAGTCTCTGGCCTCTTGGGAATTCCCCCATGAAGAAGCCTTACCTGCAAAAAGATACTCTCCCCCTCAGAAAGGGATGTGTATGACAAAGAAACCATAAGATCAGGAACTGCACCAAGAACCTTTCTCCCTGTAAAAAAAGCACCTGTGAGGATGTTTGATGGCCCCACTGATACTGCCTACTGGGCCTAGTGGGCAGAGGAATCCAGTTCTTCCACAACCCCAGCAGTTCCAGGTTACTGAGAAGGAAGGCTGGAATGGAAAAGTCAGTGTAGAACTGCCATTGCAGCAAGTTTATAAAATAGTCACCTTCTAAAGCATCCTTCTGAGTGTTTATTTGCTAGCTAAGACTCCATGCTGTAACAGAAACCTCACCTTATGACTGACTCTATGTATCTGCCACGTTTATATATTCTACCAATACATGCATATGGTCGCAAGAATTGTTTTTTTAAGAATTCAAACATTAAGCTGATATTAAAGAAACAGGGGCTTCTCTTCACAGAACTAGTGGACCCCAACATGTGTTTATAATCACATTAGAAAACCTTAGATTGCCCTCTCTTTCCCCTCTGACAGGATGATCACATACCATCACAGACCCCACTGTCACCCAAGATTAGCTGCACAGCACAGACAAAGGAAAAACAGGGAAATCTCAAAGTCGGGTGAAAAGGGGTGGGGGGGATGAAAATGGGAGAACATATTTAAAATACAGCGCATGAAAATTTCAAAGAATTGTGAAAGTATCACTAAAAAGTGAATAAAAGGGGGCTGGGAAGATAGATGGCTTAGAGAAGTAGTTCTCACTGGTCACATATCAGATCTCCTACACATCAGATATTTACATTGTGATTCATAACAGTAACAAAGTTACATTTATGAAGTCTCAATGGAAATAATTTTATGGTTGGGGGGTCACCATAGTGTGTATTGAAGGGAACAGAACTAATAAATAAATTAAAAAAAAAACAGGAAACAAACCTAGGAAAAGCTATTAAAATAATTATTAGCTCAAAAAACTACTGGAATTCAAATATTTATAAAGTGAATATTTTTGGAGTTTTTATCCTATTATTTTCCTCATAATTTCCATATTTTTATATATGTTTATCATAGGCAGCTGAGAGATTCTCTGCATTCCAATTAAAATTCTAATAACTACTTAAAAATGTTGATCAAATTGACAAAAGGAGAAACTAAAAATCTAAATAGATGCATTTGTTAGCATGCAATTTGAGTATGTTTCTAAACAATTTGGATTTGTGATCATATAACTTAATTATTAACTTCAGATTAAAATCATTTGATTTCATTCAAGCCTAGGTAAATGTCTTTACCAGTGAATTTCCTTTACATTTAAGGAAAAGATTTACTATAGCATTTATAAATCTTGCACAGAAAATAAAGAGGAAGTGCTTTACATTTCAGCATGACTTTGATGTCTAAGTCTGACTAGGATATTGCAGAAAAGAAAAATTATTAGCTGATTTTCTCATGAGACACAGAGGCAAACATCCTAAAGAAACAACTGGTTTCAGGATTGCATTAAAAGATAATACTTTATAATCCAGTTGATTTTATTCAGGAGAACTCTGTTGACTTAACTTCACAAAGAATAGGTCAATGTTAAAAGTACAGTATCTGAAATTTGTTTTAAAAATTCTTGGGCGAGGTGATGAGCAGAAGGCCATAATGAGGCAGAATGGTCTTGCTTAGTAATTACACCTGAATGATGAATATGTTTGCATATGTGCAGTTTCTATAAAATTCAAAAAGAGGGAGGAGGGATTTTATGAGCAAGGGCGGGGGTCAAGAACATAATGGGGAAACCCATAGAGACAGCTGACTGGAGCTAGTGGGAGTTCATGGATTCTGGTCTGACAGCTGGGGAGCCTGCATGGTACTCAAGTAGGCCCTCTGCTTGTGTGTGACAGATGTGTGGCTTGGTCTGATTGTGGAGCCCCTGGCAATGGGACCAGAATTTATCCCTGGTGCATGAACTGTTTTTTTCGAGCCCATTCCCTGTGATGAGATACCTTTCTCAGTCAGCCTTGATGTAGTGGTGAGGTACTTGGTCCTGTCTCAATCTGATATGCCAGGCTGATTTTACTCCTCAAGGGAGGCCTTACCTTCCCTGAAAAGTGGATGGGGGAAAGGGGAGATGGAGGCAGTGGGAAGAGGGGATAGAGGAGGAACTGTAGCAGTATGTAAAATGAATAAAGTTTTTAAAAATGAGAAAAAAAGAAAACCTTAGACTATGGTTTGTAAACAAAGACCAATGTACAACAAGTGAACACACATATTAAAGATACTAGAAAGCAGGATGGTCCCACCAACCACCCAACAGGAAGCAAGGGTGCTGCTGTCTACAACCCCTTGAAGATTAACAATTTTGAGGAGTCTATCTCCTCAAACCACTTCCATTTTATTCCATTTCCTACTAGAAGATGAACTCTTCAGCGAATGTTTCCCACATGAACAGATGCCAGCAAGGCAATCCAGTTTTTAATAAAGCATGTGCTAGCCAGTCTACATATATTGTAGCTACTCTTTCCTTCTAGAAAGTGCCCCTCTTTTTCCCTATGTCTTATAGGGGGTGAGTGGGGCAGAGATAATACATCATTTGACAAAGACATCTAATAACTGGAGACTGTTGATTAGTATTCAGGGGACACCAGGTACAATGACCTGATTATAAGACTGGGAAATTCTGGCCACACTCTTGGTTTCTTCTCATTATTACACATAAGAAAGAATAAGAAATAAGAAAGAATGTATCAGACAGAGCCTGAAATACTTGATCTTACCTAATTTTCTCTTGGAGAAGGTATACGGACACACTGCTGTGATTATAGCACCAACAACACTCAAACTTTCTTAGGACATGGGATTCCTGCCCCTCCCATTACTACTCTAAGAAGTAACTTATAACAAGTGTGGTATGATGTGGGCTGTGGTGGTGCTCACCT